TCAGGCTAGATAAACAAAAAATAAAGGCAAAAATAGCTTTCATGGATTTAAGTCATTTATTTTAAGTTATTCATCACTTCCCCCCAAATCCTTTCCATTATTACAAAAGTGAAGCAAAACCACTGTGTTTTCTGTCTTAATCCTCCTTCTCAGATGCTCTGCACAATATACTTTTTATATCAAGCTGCTAGGTAAACCATTTTCTGAGCACGAGAAGTTAGAGTTCACTTCATAAACCAGGCATTCTTCAAGGTTGTCATAAGCATATTACAGAAATACACACTACAAGACCAGGGTAGTGTACCTTATTAATATTTCATTTTGGTACAATATACTTGCATTAACTCTTTAACACAGGTATCATATTGTTTCAAGTCAGAGAACCTAAAACATCGTAACAAAGATTAGACTAAGAGCAAAGCCTTGAAAACTACAGCCATTAGTCCTGTCATCCCCTATAAAGTTAATGGGTTGGAAAAATGGTCAATCTTTGGACTAAAAGTTGATATTTAATTGAAAGAAAATGTTTTTTAATTGTAATGGGGATTTTGCATTAGTGTGAACATGAAAAGGTACTAAAGAATCTAATGCAAGGTTACGTATTGATTTCCATCTTGACACTGCTGTAAAATGTAGTAATATTTCTATTTCATAAACAAGCTCACCTATTCAGCACYATGACTTTTTATTTGTTTTGAGAACATAAAAGATAGAATAGAGTGAAAAGAAGAAATAATAAGCATATTCTCAAATATTTTTTGCTGATGTATAGGACAAAAGCCATGACACTGCTCGAAAGCCTAACTGATTCTATACCAAAATTATCAAGATGTTATAATGTCTCTTTCACATCTTCCAGGGATATTTGGTTCAGCAAAGCAAGTACATCCCTAAATCTAGCCCGTCACAGTGGCAATCAGAATGGTTTTAGTGACTGTGGATTATAACTAGAGACCTGACATAATGGATGCGAAAATACTGGTCAGAATTATAATCACTATAGCCTAGAAGGATGGAAATATTTATAAAATCTTTTTATTTTTCTTGAAAAAGCTTGAGCTAAATTAATTACCATTCTAACTCTTAATAATAACACTTAGAATATGACATTGAATTTGGGAAATGCTTGTTTCTTTCTAATGCAAACTCATTTAAATCAAAATTTAAAAAAATCTCTGATAAGAAGAAATTTCTCTGATAAGAAACCACTACTTTGACATTCCATTTAATGCACTTATAAATAAAAAAAAAAATGATGACTGAGAAAAATACACTAGCTATGATTTGAAAGTGTGTTATTTTCAACCTGAAAAATAGCGTGAGAGATGGAGAAATCAGTTAAAATACTTTGTGAAAAGCATTGCTGTAATTCTGTTATAAAAGTTTACTGCGATACTGTACACTTAAGCCTTGCTGTTAAGGTGCTTCTGTTATATACCCCGTAGTCTACCATTTGTAAACACATCTTTTTGATGTTTCTGCCAACATCCTGGCAACAAAGGAGTGCAATTTCAAATGAGCTAATTAACTTAATTGTTGATGAAGCATGAAACAGTTCATTCACCCTGTTAGCTGCACCATGACAACATAAGAGTCTCAGCCCCTGAAGTTACTCATCTATATAAGCCTATCTGTAGCTTTCCATTAAGATCTATTGCCTACCAAAACAAGGATGGCTCCTCTGACAAAGACCAGTCCCCATAATAAACAGGTAGAGAGTCGKCATCGCTGCAGCAGATTTAAATGAACGCAGAAGTCTAGCAACCAAATTGAATTAGAACAAACAAACAAGCAAATAAACAAACAAAACCTCCAGTAACCGTCTGTGATTTGAAGCTGCAGCTGAAAGATTTATTTTCTAAATGCTTTGAATCAGACAACTAGCAAAAAAAAAAGCTCTGAAAGTATAAAACTTTCCACATCGCTGTTCATTTCTGAAAGGTGTAAACCCACCTGTTTGCAGTTTTTCTATTCTCTCTATATTATGCAATATATGAGTAAAGGCAAAAATAAATTACTGAGTGAGAGTTAAATGGTCACACTTAGTCCTTTGTGCTCTTCTATTTATATTACACACATAATTCCCATTATACGCAAACTGTCAGAATTGAAAACGTGCTTTTTTCATACCTCCACTATCGAATATACAATCTAAAGCATCTCTTGGAATTTTCTGAGGCTCCATTTCAGTAAAGGATAATAAGAGGATTAAATACTGTGCTTTTGAAAGGCCTGCAAAAGTGTTCAACATGAAAGAAAGCCTAACAATTTGACCCTCTGCAGATAGCCTCGATTATCCAGTTGCTGGGAACACACACCAAATCTCCGCTCTGATTAAYGGCCCAACTTTGTTTTGCCATCTCTCTCTTCCCCCAGCCTCAAACAACCCTTTGCCAAGGAGTAAAAATCAACCTACTTTAAAAATTGTCCAAAATCTTCACAAACGCTTTCACAGCCAGGCCATTTGCAAACGCCATGCCCATAGAGAGTATGGGAGGCCCCAGTCTCCTCGTGTGACGAGCTGCAGCAAAAGAAGAAGGCATCAGATTCATCTCAAAAGCCATAATCGTCGGAGGCTGCTAGCGCCTGTCAGGTTACGATCAGTGACAAACAGGTCAAAACAGGTCAATTTAGCTCAGAGCAGTCAGAAAAATTTAATCGTTCTATTGAATAGTTCAACTGCCAAGGCTAGATGATGTTCCAATTAGAGAAGAAATAGAGCCAAGGATGACTGTTAATAAAGGATGAAAAAATACGATGACTGTATAATACCACATGCTAATTCTGCCATATGACCTTGGTGTAACATTTTACCTATAAATAAAAAATATACTCATAGCTGATCAACTCTGCAAAGAAATACTGAAGATGGACAGTCAGAATTTATGAATAATGTGAATGTTATTATAAAATATTTGGATTTTCAGCTAAAATGTCTCTAAAATTAAAGCAACTTTCATAATTTTTTTTTTCCACAACTGTTGCTTCCATTAATTATTTGGTTTTATAAAAGACCCCAGCTCTTCTCCATTTCTTTTCTCACAGCCTTAGCAATATTTTCATGCATGTGTATATATCAAAGAGATTCAGGAGACTGCTTCAGGAGAAGGGTGCTATACTTTCTAAAGGAAGAACCTACTTGTCTCATATATAATGACAAGTTAATCTGAACTAAAAGCACCACTATAAAGATATGTAGAGAAGTAACAAGAATTTTTAATAGTAAAAATAACAGTAAAATGCCCTCRCAGTGAAATGAGGACCAGGGACACCTAAACTATAGTCTCCTATTTCAAACATTAAGATAACTAAAGAAAACATTTATTGAAAATACCATTACTTACAATTATGTAGATGCAAATTAAAATTTATATTTTATTGAGATCATCTACATYGATCCTAACATACAACACTGTCATAAGTGCTATAGATAGTACATGCACCCTTACACTWTTAATCCATCCCTGGAAAATAAGGAACTGTGTGTCTGTCAATGTGTCTGAAAAATGACTTTAACTTAATCCACATGGCCACATTCTATTGCATTAGATTAATGCAACTAAAAATTTGCATGAAATGTCAACTGAGTTACTATAGTCTACATAAGAAGCAAAATTCAGCAGTTTTCTKCACAAGAAGAAACAAACTGTCTTAATGTACTAATTGAAAACAGCAGCACTTTTTACATGGAATATTTGCACTGAATTCCTGTACTAGTCTACCAGGGTATATACATTTTCTCTTATTCAATAGCAAATGTCTGACTGCCAGATGTGTGAATTCAAATATGCATTAAACTATGTGCCTACAAAGTGAGCACAAATCTGCACTGACACCTCTGAAGCAGCACCTGCTATTCTGGCATTTCTAATTGTTATCGAAGGCACCGTGAGTTCATATGGTATAAAAACACAGGCAGGTAATTGCAGTAGCACTGACAAAATTAGACATCATTATTGAAAATGATGCCCTATTGATAAACAATTTAGGAAATCAGGTCTCCACAACCTCTTATGTAACCTGTATTAAGTTTTACRTTGCGATTTGAAATAAATCCCCTTACAAAGTTAAACAAAAGCGTTATGTCAAATGATAAGCACAGTTGAAATCTCATCAGCATTACCTGTCTCGCCTTGCATTTAGAACTGAAGACTGTCCATTCACTATGGAATGATGAGTTATTGGTGGTGATGCTTTGGAAGTGGTGGAGGAGGTAGTAGAGGAGGAATTGTTAGTAGTGAGGTCTAGCCCTCCATGTTTAATGCCATTGTCTTCCATACTGTGAACTCCAGTCACTTCTTTCCATAACTGCTGAATCTCAGCAGGACTTAAGCCAGCTATAAAACGAAAGAGAGCCCCACTAATATAAGAAAATAAGAGTTTCATATAATGAGCTCAGTGTTATTAATGGATTAATGCCAACAATACAGGTGATGCTCTTTTTCCAGCACAATCAACGTGTTGTATAACATAATTTCAATTTTCTTCTGTCAAAATTCAGGTAATCTAACTGCCTTTCTTTTGTGTTATGAATAGTCAATTAAAACCCACCAATTTTAATAATATTAAACTCCTTTTTACAACACTCATTCAAGGATCAAAGATTACACATGACAAAGAACTTCAAAAACTAGTACTAAAGACATTTTTAGAGGAGATTTCTGCTGTCTGCAGAATCAATTTCTTGACAAGCAAATGTGACTCAACTCATTTCACCGTTTACTCAGATTTTAGAATTGTTGTTTAATCAGATATGAAATGAAAAACAGAATACATCACCCTAAAGATATAAGCAATAATATTCTCTTAAAAGACTTAAAAAGTAGGGAGTGAGGAAAGCAGAGACAAGGGAGAGAAATCAGAAAATGAAACAGAAATCAATGAGATCACAACAGGTTTAACATTTGGGTACAAAGCATCTAACTTTAATAATACATACATACTAATTAGACCTGATTAGCTAGTAGCAAATTGTCCAGTTTAAAAATATATTTTTAAGAGACAAAAACAATGAAATGTTTGAAAGAACAAAACTACTAAATCACAGAGCTATATTTTGGTTTTTGCTTAGTTTTTTGGAGCCATTCAATGGCAGCAAAGAATGAGAAAGACAACAAAACTGGCCTGCTTAGACTCTCTGCAAGGATGAAATTACATGCAGGCCATCCAAAGTCTTGCACTATTTCTTGTGCAGCCCCATTGTGGAAAACTGATTGAAGGGCTTGGCTGGGTACAAGGAGCCTCTGCTTCGACAGCCTCCTGAGGTCACGGGACACAACTGAAAGGGCTTCTCAATCTTCTCTACTCTGTGCACAGGACTATTTTGGACTGTAGCCAACAGGTGTATTTACCAATAAAGCTGAAAAAAATGTTTGCCCTCTTCTCTACTTGAGAAACTCACACTTTTATTTCTCAGCATTCATCTTGGGCTACAAATAGTGATGTCTGCAGAGTCTACATGTATTTAAGGACCTGTCTTAGTGCCGTCTGGCTTGAGCTGAGCACTTCACATGAAGTCATCACCAGGACAATATGCTTCTGCCTGATGTAAAAACTTCCCAAACAGAGTAAGAGACGTGTGTCCAAGTGTGCTCAGACCATTGCTCCAAATATGCATCTAAGGAAATGATGATATTGAAAGATGCAGAGCTCACCATAACTATAGGCATCTTACGTCCCTACTGATCTGTACAAACTTCATGTCTCTTCTGAAGAACCCTCTAACTAGATGTAGAAAAGAATGAGAATCCCAGAGCTGCCTGTGAAGGATCCAGTTTGCACACAGATTTTTCAGCCTGACATGGTTTGGGTCAGAGCTATCTTGAAATTATTGACCTTCAGGAAAGGATTTAAAATTAGTCTAATCACTCACTGAAGACAGTTTTATTTGRTAAATAAAATGCATTAGAAAGATGTAAAGATCTTTTTATAAAAAGCTCACACTACCAAAATGGATTCATCAAAAAATTATGAAGAAGTACAGTAAGCTACTATTTCCTAGTAATTGTCTTACTATGAAGTATATAAAGTTATTTAAAAATTAACTATTAGTTATTTACAGAAAAAAATCTAGAGGTAGCTAGGAAACAGACTGGTTGGAAGGCATTCACAATTTTTAAAATTTAAGTAGCTCATCTTTAGACCATTATTTTGTGTCCTAAGAGACCATTATCAAATGGCAAACTCAATTAATTAAAAAGTGAAAAAAGAGAGTTGATGAAATATYTTAAAGCTGAGTTCATATTGTGTGTCCACAAAAAAAAAACCTAGGATTTAAGGACACAAGCAAAGAAGCTAGGCTTCAATTTACTGCATTTGTGAGATGGGTAACAGCAGCAACAGTAATAACAGATGTAATCGTTTAACAAAAGTGAGTAATTACTGCAGTTTTCATGAGGTACATCCCAGCAACTCTGCAAATAGCCCATTTTAGCATGGAAAATAATAGTTACCTGCAAATGTAATCAAAAGTCAAAGAGCATTCAGTTAGGTGCTCTGATACAGAGTGCAGTATTTACTCGAAACGTTCCCTTCCTTCAGCAGTTGAAAAAAATGAACTATTTTGTGTTAAATTGTGTCTTGCCCTAAGACACAGTTAAATTGTGACTGCCTTTATCAAAGGCAGTCAAACTTTGGGCCCCAAGGGGGTGAGTGAGGATACCCCAGGATCCTGTGGGAATCAGTCCATGTTGGTAGTGGTTGGAGTAACTGCACTTCCCCATATCCAGCGATCTCCTCCCATACTTTGCTCATGGTCCTTCAGCCCATTCCTAGACCATATTTTTCTAAGTGGACACATATAAAAAAATTTATGTGATCTATCTCTAAATCCTACGTATCCTCCAAACATCTCTGCAGAAGTTGAAAACCTTTTACTACATCCAGTGCATATTTTTTTCTCGAAAACAGTTCTTGTGTTGAAGGTCTAATTTGATATTATCATAGGATGTCTGTCATAAAATTTGCTAAACTTCCATGAGAAAAATGAAGGAMGTGATTGATCCCCTTACTCTTTTCATACTCACAAGTCCCTGTCCAGGAACATCTATGATAAAATCAGTAGAAGTAGTTGGTTATTTTCTGTGTGTAAATAAAGACTTACAAGAAAGTCGACTGATCTCAACTATATTAATCTTCATTACATTACTATAAACTGGATTGCATGCTTTATCTCTCTGTGAAAGATATTATGTGGCTATAGGAAAAGCCTACGGAAAGAACTCATAATCTGTCATAATTCTGTATTTGGCTCCCTCTGTTTCCACTTCTTACACGTTCCTCCTATGTCCAGCACTGTAACTCCAGCTCTCCTATTACAGCGTTCGTGGCCATTCTGGAGATGCAGAAAAGTTCCCCAGGGAAACCTGTCCTGTGTTTTCTTCCTTTGCTCATCCGTATCAGCACTCAGCAAAAACAAAAGCACTATCGATTTACTTAAACGAAACCCAGAGACATGGAAGATACTAGAACTAGGAAACAAAAATGAAGATGAAATATTCAGCTGGATTTCATTGTAATTAATAAGGAATAGGTCAAAAGCAACGAGACTGGTTTACTTTAGAAAGAACAATCCAGAAACATTTTAAATGTTAAAAATTTGTATGATCTTATTTCCTTAGGGCCAATTTCTTGTCATGACTTCACTTACACTTACTTCTTTGAGCAAAAGATACTGYGGTGACAATTTACTAGCTCTCTTAAAAATATTTTAAAAACAGCATTATTTTATATGTGTTTTTCTAGTAGAAGTAGATGAATKACTTTTACATTACACTAATGAATGCAATTGGGTAGGAGTGCTGAGGGAAATCTGTGGGGAATGCTTAATGTGAGAGAAAACCTGAGGAATTCCTCTTGCAACAGATGGCACAAGAGGAGGTTGCAGAAGGTAAAGCTGTTCAGGGGGAGGCTGTGTTTCAATTACTGTTTTCCAACATGACTTTGTACAAAAGGAAACTACCAATCTCACGTGTACAAATTTATGAATCAGTTTGCCTCCCCACTGCTATTCCCAAATAATAATATTTAATGAGATAGCTTTTTTGCTGTTGTTGTATTTTTTGTACCTTTAGGTGTGCTTGCGTTACAGCTTTTTCACACAACAAAATGTATGGATTCAYGTACTTGTAATCTTAGTTTGCTAGGGACTGAGGATTCAAGATGTTCCAGTACTTCTCATGATTTTTTCTGCTTTCTTATTTTGGCTACATTACAGTCTATGTAACATGTATGCTGCTCTTGCTCATTGAATTTCCAAGGCTTCAATTTCGTAATGGTTATCTATCTGGTGAGGGACTGACACATGGGCATAGATGCCAATTAAAAGTAATGTTACCTGTCATGAACACAGYCTAAATAAGACTCAGTGCAGGCTTAGAGCTTCAGAGATCAGAATATTATGCAAGTTTTAGGAGTCATTTAGCTCATCTCTCTATTGTAAAAAAACCAAACCAACATGTGCCTCACAGACAGACTTTAACATACAAAATCTTTGGCCTTGCAAGCGGTATTTATTTTCCAATTTAGTTTAAAAAAAAGTGTGCCCTACTTTCTTTTGATCGTGAATGTATCTGTAGAATAGAGAGAAGTAAGGAGTTTGAGCTTATTTATCATATTGAGAAATCTCGATGAAAGTGACGAAGGGAAAAGTTTTATTTTCTCAAATCCTTTACTATTATTTGTCAGTCACAATTCTTTATTACTGTATTCATAGCTTACAAAAACTTTTGTCATATTTAACGAATAGAAAGGAATAGCAAAGAAATGAAATCCTAAAATATGTTCCTAAATTCATGCCATCAATTAAAGATTCAGAGTGCTTTTACATCCCAAACATTTTCTTTTCTGAGAATAAAAACGAAAAAAGAAAGGAAGTTTGGAATAACTTTAATATCAATGTCCGATATCTTTTAGATACTTATATTATGTGAAATTATTACATTCTTACTAAATCAGATTTTTGTAATTCCTCAGAGAAAAGCAATGGTGCTTGAATTGTGATGCTATTAGAAATTGTTTTCAGCACATAAGCCTAATAAATATGCACTTTATATCTAAAAAAAAGAAATCAAAAGCTGTTTCCTTGCATAAAAGTATGCTGTAAAATTTATCAGCCTGAAGAAAAATTGGTAATATGAATGAAGTATTTCAATAATAAAACAGGTTTATATGTCATCAAGTGAAACCTCCCAAATTTAGATCCATGTGGACAGAAATGGTTAAAAGAAGTTTTGAATTAGAAACTCTCCAATCATATATAATTTGGATACCTTGTGGCAGAGACTGGACAGGAAGAGCAGACTGGCCAGGTGGGATGGAAATGAGTCCCTGACGCTGAAGGTTCAGCAGATGCTGCTGCTGCTGAAGTTGTTGCATCTGGAGGAGCTGCTGCTGGAAGACAAGCTGCTGGGCTGCCAACTGCTGCTGCTGCTGCTGCTACAGAAGGAAATAAAAAGCAAATGCAGCAGAGAATAAAGTGTGCAGTGAAAGTCAAAATGTCCAAAATACTTCTTTCCCTTTAATCTCCTCTTATTAAATAATTTTTTTCTTTTTTTTTTTGTAGAAAACTCAGCCAGTGAAATTGTTTGAAATTTTCTCTTACATTCATTCAAGCTAGTAGGTGCTATGGAAAATGGCAAGATACTCTCAAGGACACAGACAAGAAAAGGGACAAGAGAAAATATATAGCAGTCGTTTCAGGCAAACACACACACAAAAAACCCCAGCTCATGGCAGATGATAACAAATTTATCTATGCTGAAAGTATGAGTCTTTACAGCGGTCTGTGATTCAGAGGCACTCTTGTTTTTCCAATTGACTAAGTTTGGTCTGCAGTGGTCCATGAATGTGGTCTCCAGTGATCTATTAGTAAACTGGGATGTAGCCTTCATTTCACTGGCCTGTTAGCTCTCCCTCTCTTCTTGTTGGAATACATTAAAACGAGCATTGCATTCAAGGCAAAGAAGTGCCCTATTATGAGTCAAAGTATAACTTCCAATTTTGTGAGGCATTACAAGACAAACCGGAGTTCTTCAGACTCAGGAGGGCATAAGAAGGCAGTCACACTTCAGAGAGAGACAAGCTGCTGTGGAAGACCTTTCCTTTTTAGTTTGGGGAAAAGAGAAACTTCTGATGCGCTCACTGGAAAACAGACTGCATAATGGAGCAAGTCATGTGGATTGCCCAGAGCCTCCGGAGAAATAAGGGAGCAATTTCTATTCCGTAGTTGATGGCTGTCTGAAATTCTATTCACAAATCCAAACAGAGACGAAGCCTCAGGAGGTCAGCACTGCTTCCTGTACGTTTGCATAATGGGCAGCTTGAAGACAACGCTGAGGATACCTGCTGATCAATTTAACTACTTCAACATGTTTTGTTTGTATTATGTTTATATTTGATGCAGTTTGCTGACAAGTGCAAGCCAGGCCTGAGAAACCCGCTTGTCAGGGTGATTTATGAGCACATCAAACTGTAACTTTCTACTCGCCACTCCAAACCCACAGTAGCAGTTCATTAATCAGGGGCCTGTGACTTTGAAATCTGCGCTCAACTGTTTTTTTTTTCAACCATGGACTAAATTTGCATGCTCCCTGAGCTGTGCCACAGCGAAAAGTCAGGCTCCTCCGCCAGCTGAAATTCCCTGTAAACGCGAGATAATCAGTACTTTGTCCACCACACAGCTTGTCCTTCGCACACTCTGATTCATTAGCGAACATTAGACGACAGCAGCCCCAGACTGCTCAAATCCTGSGCTGGAGAAGGGGGAGCAGGAGCATTATACCAGCCCTGCTATTAAGCCTGGCAAAAATGTAGGAGCAAATCTTTGCTAGCTACATCCTCGCTACAGGAAGCTGCTCCTAGTCTCTTCCGAGCTCCTGGCAGCTCATGCTAGTGTGTGGCAGTAAGTGTCTTAGCACCTACCTCTTTCGCTTGCTTTCCTGGATGCTGCTGCTGCTGCTGCTGTTGCTGCTGCTGCTGCTGTTGCTGCTGCTGCTGCTGCTGTTGTTGCTGCTGCTGCTGCTGTTGCTGCTGTTGTTGCTGCTGCTGTTGCTGCTGCTGCAAAAGCTGAAGATGTAACTGCTCTTGCTGTTTCTTGTAAAACTCTTGTAGTTGTTGCTGAATAAACCATTTTGACTTTAATAAATAAAGGCAAAAGTTTCAAGTATTATAAATCTCCTAAACTCTTCTAGATTGGCATATGGTAGCGTAGCCATTAAGAATCACCTCATAACAAAAGAAATGTGATTTGAAGAGGCAGATCTACATACATTTTTTTCCAAGGCGGTTCTGAAATTTTCCAATGCAGATTCCAAAATATCCTAAACAGAAGGGTATAGAAAATCTGTATTCTAAAGGGAATGCAAGAGCCAAATTAACTCCTCAAATAACTACACCTGAGTTCCTCACATATCCTATATAACAAATCAGAAGCTGTACTCATCCACTTGCAAGAAACCAATGAGTCACTAAGGCCAAACAAAACTGTCTGCTTCTTGGAGGGGGGGGAAAAAGGGTAATTAAACTGTCAATCTGTTTAGTGGGATGCCAGATTCACARCTGAAGGTGAGTTGTCTGTAATGATCACAGTACTAGATATCAGAATGTTTAAGCATATAGTGACTGAGCTATGACTAAGAGACACATCATTTTCTSTACCACAATTAAGCACACACCCAAAAACCCTCTCTACGTTACACTGAGGTACTGATTGCTGACACTATCTTTAGCGTATGAATAACAAGTTCACTGATTCTTGACTTAGCTGCCAGATTTTGTGCTAAGGAAACAGCAACCATCCTTCTTCTCTTTAGCCTCAGCTGGGGCAAATTTTTGGATGCAAAAAACAAAACAGAAAAACTTTTTCCCATGGCGAAACAAGCTATTAAGTTCAAATTTCATAACCGCATTTCATTTATGTGTCTAAAGGGAGCACTAAAGTGTTATGAATTTTAAAGCAACAATTATCTACAACTCTATTTGCACTTCCTTTGGCAAGTCTACAATTAAAATGTGCCTAAGCACTTGAAAATTTAAATATCAATTTGTTCGGTATTTGTAATGCATCTGCCACTGCTGTTGCTACTGTTTTAAATATAATATTTAATGTTTCAAAATTGCAATTTCACACTTCTTCAATTAAAGTAAGATATTTAAAAGCTGAGAAGTTTCACATTTATTTTCATTCTTTTTGTGGTGTAATGAGCGATGAAATATTAAAAAATAAGACCCATAAAACCACAGCGAACGCTTGCACGACTGCCCTGTGCTAGAAGTCCAAAGCAGGTAACCCACATTACCTGCTGCAACATAACTGCTTGCTGCTGCTGGAGAAGTGCTTGGAGCTGCTGTGGAGACAACACTTGCTGCTGGAGGATCTGCTGCATTTGCTGAGGGGTGATCACCTGGGGAGTCATCATGGCCACTGACACAGGCACCTGCACAGGGTGAGAGAGATATCATCATCAAACGCGTTCTCGTCTGCCTCCGTCACAGCCGTACGTCTTCTTTATTTGGTACCAAAGACGGACCATAATTTTTTCGCATAATATTTATCACTGCAAAGTTCCAGTTCCAGTCAGAATCTGTTATTTTAAGCCCGCAGTACTGTGGCACTCTATTTCCAGAGGCATCAGATTCGATCAGACTCAAGCTTTACATTTTGCATCTCCTATGTATTCCTGCAAGAAATTTAAGCATTGGCTAGTACAAGTGTGTATTTAAAAATAAATGATCACATGGCAGGGCTCTCAACACTTCATAATCAATCATCTTATCAAGTGTCATAATGTTACGAATGGAAAAATCTATTGAGACTGATTCAAAAGATATGATTAAAACAGACAGAAAAATAAGTATCTTAACGCACTAAATGTTTTACACAATAAAGACACTTAGCCTAGAAAAAYATCTGTATAATACATCACCTCAGCATAAGAAAGCCTTTCTTGCTCAGCTCCTCTTTTAAGGAAGGCTGATTTACACGAGAGGGACAAGCCTGCCGATACACCGCAGTACAGAGCAGAGGGCCCCATCTCAGTTACCGGCTCTCTGCCGAGGGAAACGTACTTACAGTCATTCCTRGGTGAAAAATTAAAGTTCAGGAATCTGGTCATCACAAGACTGTCRGTCTGCCCATTACGCTCTAAGGAGCGGCATTTTTGTCGAGGTGCTGTTCTGGATATAGCCTTGCTTTCTGTTTGCTACACGCCGAGCTGAAGTGCGTACATATATGTAAACACCCTCCCCCATAGGTGCCCTCGGGCTGAGCTGCGTGTGAAAGGCACAGCAGCCACGGCGGGTTGTGCAGGTAGGGGAGAAAARTCCTCTAAAGGAGCCCAGGAATTGTGCCCCGCTGCTGCACCGGGCTGTGTGACACCCGTCCTCGAACCAACCAGTGCAACCAGTCAGCAGGCCGAGGCCCTGGCCCTTGAAAGAGATGCCACTTTCCCGTCTAGCCAAAGTCATTCTTTTCCCTGTAAATAATAGCAAGCTGTTAGCTAGCTATTACTTTGTCCCACGTCTGCAGGAGGTTACAGTCTTCAGTAAATTAGCAAAAATAACATTGTTCTTAACGAAATATTTCACAAACCAATCTTAAAAGAGAAAACACTTATTTCAAGTATTTAAAAGAGAAATACAAACCTTTTGTATTTTACATTTAGAAGAAATTACTTCATCTCATATTATACAGAACATCACTTCTCACACAATTCACCACAGCATAAATTCAGTTCTTAAAATAATGGCTAAATAACAGTATTTTTGCTTAACCCTCTGCCTGAAAGTAAAATTAACTTCCATTACTGAAAGATCACCAGCTGCAAACAAATGAATTTTAAGAACAGAAATTCTGACATTCAGACCTATGACATGAATTGAAGAGACAAATCAGACGTCCACATGTACTCAAAAACTCAGAGGGAATTCATCTCACTTACCTTTAGCCATCTAGAAGTTAAACATTTAATCTCGGCTACCACTGGACCCTCTTTGTGGTCAATAAAATAAGGAAATTCTGAGGACAGCTCATCTGATCTAGTTTAGGAACCTATTTAAGCATGGGATTAATCACCCTCTGAAGCTGTCTGGCTCTGTCCTCTGGGTACAGACTGTCTCTGAGCAGATAGTTAACTTTCAGATGGTTAAAGCTGGTTGTTACTCTTAGTGATCCTTCTGCAGTATTCAAAATGCCATATCTATACAATAACGTTTTTCCTAAGTCTATCGGGTTCTAAGGTCAAGGCAAACCATCTTTTACAAGTTTGGGGATGAGCAAAGAGTAAAATTCAATTCCCACTGAAACCAATAAGAATTTCCTTTTTTCACATAAGATCTGAATTTGCCTTCTTGCAGTAATTTTGCCTCAGCAGCAATGCTGTTCAAGTACCATATGTCAAAAAAAAATGAAAAGGGAAACGAGGAAGAAAGACACCTACCCAATTAAACCATTAACTTTACCCTTTAAACCCTGTAGGAATTCTTCTACCATTTATATACCTGTTACTAAAAAATATAGCAAACAGTGTTGGCATTAATTCTTCTAACTCTATTTCTCCTCTCTTCTTTATATCCTCTCTGTATGTTCGCCAGCTTAGTTACTTTTAAACACACAAGTAAAAATTCTGATTTACACCGAACGAAAGTCAATTTAACTCTCCAAGTGGCACTGATTAATTGTGCGGAGTGCTAAAGATCCTAGCTAGTAAGGCACAGGACGTTATTCTAACAGCTATAACACTGATGCTCATTTAGTGGGCACATTTCTGCCAGCTTTCACAGCATCTCTTCTAAATCTCACTGGCCACGTATTTATTCTTGATCTACAGTCTGAATGTTTCACTTCCAAATTTTCCCACCACTGTATTTTTCAGAAGTCACTTTCAGTTGCATAAGTTGAAGTGTGGTCCATGGGTCTGAAGAGTATCAGAAAACTGATATTTTATGGCCAGATGTGTGCATTAGGTATATCCCTCTGTTCAAGTATCTGTGTTTTCCAGCATATCTGATCTGATGCTTCACAATTTGCCAAGGAGGCAAATTCAGACTCTTTTTCATTAGAAAAGAACAATCTCTCGGTGTATCCGAAGTCAATTCAGGCAGATGACAGTAGAGGGACCCAGTGAAAACATTTAATCAAATGAATTATGTGGTTCATTTCAATGGGCTACAAACTCTCAACACATTCTCAAACAGACCTCTCATGAAAAACTGGAGACAACATGAAATACATGACTTATAACTGCAACCCAGCTAATAAAAGATGTCCTCCAAGAAAACTATCTCCTAACTCTGATAGAGGATGATTGTGTACAACAATTCTACAAAACATGGTGGGTCTTACATCCTCTGAAGAACAGGCCAATTATTATCTGACTAAGGCTCCAAGTTTTTAAAGAGTTTTTCAGATCTCTGACATCTCCTGCCCTTGTTTCTTTGAAAAGTCCAGCTTAATTAAACTGAAGATATATAAACAAGCATATTTTAACACACAGAACATTTCAAGACAACCGATGCAAACCAAAACTTTAACTGTCTTCTTATACATGAATGTACTAATTAAAGAGCTTCATGCAATATGAGAAGACGGATATTGGAAATGGGACCAACCCTAATCCATACAGCATGGTTGAAGAAATGAAGATGAGAATTTTTTGAAGCCCTGCAAATGAATTTTTACCTACATAAGTTTACTAGAGGAATGGTGGAAGTTGAGTTTATGTGTGGAATACCACTCTTTTGTCATTCATAAATAATACACCTAAAGAAGCTTGTAAAGTAAATGCTAACCTATTGCTGCTATAGATTAAACAAAACCAGGAATCATACAAATTTCACTTCTTTATAGCACCTTAGTATCACATTGCTAATGTCATAAATTACAGGCACCATCACTAGCCTGCATCTTCAGTTAGCTTTCATAATTTTAARAATTCTTGATTATGTGCACATCTTGTCAAGAAATGCTGACTCTGCTTTAAAAACAAATATGGCAAATGCATACATACTATTTTTATTCCAAATGTCTTTTATTTTGAAAATAAGATATTGATAAAGGACAAAACAACATTAGTTTTCAAGGTTTTCAAAGCAAAAGATAACAAAATCAGTAATCCTCCAAACCAGTTATAGGATGCAAGTGTTATTTCTTTCTTATAGACAGAGGAAACAATCACAGACCTTAATTAATCCAAGCTCACATGGTATTTTAAGTGGCAGATCTGAGAACTGACTGACTCTGTAAGACAAGTGTCTCTCCAGTTATTGAAAGAACTGTAATTAAACATTTAATGGAGAAAATTACCTCTGCAGGTTTTTTCTCCTTTTAAAAAATAAATGTAGGTGTGAAAATATACAGGTAAGTGCAGGATTGGGCTCATTAGCTGCAAACATACTTTAATTTTAAAAGAAGAAGCTACTGCATCCCTTCTCTTCCTACTTTAGTAATGTGTACAGTACCAGCATAATAATAACCTTTCAAATCTTTTGKTTTTTATAATTTTTAGAAAATGTAAGAAAAGAACCGAGAGGTACTTATAAGTTTTCCATAACTAGAGAACAAGCAAACAAAAAGATCCCCCAGATGGACAATACATATAGCTATTTGTATACAGTCTTTTAGTTAAAACTAGATGCTTCTGAAACATCTAGAAAATATAAATGATGATACATAATACTAATGGTTATTTATCATTAGAGAAACTCTAGAACACATGCAACAGGAAGAATAACAAAATAACAAAGATATATCCTTTTAGTATCATGACTCTCGATTTCCATGTTTACAGTGGAATTGAATTTATTATTATCAGTCTATCTACATTTCAATTAATTTAATAAAACAGAGTGTGCTTTGTTGTGTAATTATAGTTACAGAACTCTATCTTTTCAGCTATTTTTTCATTGGATACTTCTTCAATTACATGTAAACATTTTAGTAAAGATTAAAGTAATTCCTATTTACAGTTAGTGGAAAACAAGCTGTCCGTACTCCTGCTGTAGCAGAGATTATAGGTGATATATAATATGCTGCACCATATGTTTAAAGGCCAATAATGCAACTTCTAATCTCACTCTGGCTAATCAAGCTGCTCAGATTATTTTACATACATCTTTGGTTTAGGCCTTGACATGCCCTTGTTTTTCTTTCTTCTCAAAGCTAAAGTTCCCCTCTTTGATTAGCTGAAACATTTGCATGGTCACTACACATTTTTCATTTTATAAATCATTATGCATTAGCAGTCTTGATCGCCTAGCTTGACTAATCCTGATGAACTGAAATCACAGCTGAAGGTCAAACTCCATCCCACTGCACATTCATATTCAAACAAATCTGCACCATTGTTCATTAGACTTCTCAAATCATTGAAAAGAAGTTACTGAATATCTTACCCTTATTCTTTCTGTTTTCCAAAACTTCATCTACTAATGTTAATAC